CAAGTGAACAGTGTCTAATAATAAAGATGAAGGTATTTGAATATCTGAGTAAACTAGTGGTAGATGAAACAATACTATCAGTTGATAAATATGTTTAACACTATTTTCAGATTTTGATGAAGATTGAATAAGTGTATTTAAAATTTTTGAACATTGTAAATAAACTGTTTTGTGTTTTGTCCTCATCTTTATTATTATGTTGTAATGCAAGTTAATGCTAAAACATAATTATTGTACTTTTTGTAAAAGTTTATTTCTTCTCATAAAAAGTTATGTTTAAAATGGTAAAACACAATGTGATGCTTAGCCAGTTTTTTAAGATCATAATTTTCAAAGTTACATAACTACAAAATCTTATATATATATATATATACAGTAATGGAAATTATTAAGGAAATGCACAGGAGACACAAACACCAAGTAATGGCAATCAGGTGTGGTGGTGAGTTTATTAATGGTACAAAATGTCATCAAAGAAAAGCAAATAAGTTGTATATATATATGCTAGTTATGTGTGTGTGAGAGATCTTTGTGTTACACCTTGTTTTAACTCTTTTTTTATAATTCAGCCAGGTTATTTTGCCACCTCTTGACCTTCTTAGTTTCTTGTACAATCTCGAGAATGACTATTTCATGACTTGTGAAGTCCTGTTTACCATCAGGGTATCATTTCATCACATTTGCTGTATGCGTAGAATCATTGTCTTGCTGGAAGATGAATACCTGACCAGATCAGAATATGCATATACTTGTTAGTTTTACTAATACCATTGACAAATATGCAGCTCCAACTTGAACTGATCCCTCTCCCATCATGCTTCACTGTAGATATTGAATATTAGAACATTCTTCTTATTTGTGGTCTGATGCCAATTTTAACTTTTTGGTTTCGTTATCTTTTCTCAGCAGCAATTTTTGGAGTAGCTTCACATTCACTGAAACCACATTATCGTAATATTTATTTTACTTTTCAAGAAGAAAAATCACATCTGCATTTATAGGCTACAGCAAGACAAAATCCAAAATCATTCCAATGGATAGACCCTATGCACATTAAGTTAAACACAACTGACAATGGAAAAAGTTATTCTGAAGATGGTACATGACCAGGAACACTATTCTTGTAAAGTGTAATTAACCCTCAGGATTTGTAAAGTATCTCACAAAAACAGCTAATATTGTTTCATGATAACTATTGGTATTTGTAATATTTCTGATTGTAATAATTTAATTGCTGTATGTGTTAGAGAGGAAAGGTTACCAGTGATCTGGGACTTGTAAACAAGATTTATTCCTCTGGTAAAGTTAATAAATTATTTTCTTACAAAATTTTTAAACTCTGAAATAAAATTACCTAAATATTTTCTTGTGATTGTGAGAAAAATTTTGAATTATTTAAAAACTTCAAAAAAAGGAGATTTCATTGTATTAGTTGCTATCTATCAGAAAGGTTACTAAAGAGTTTTTCCTGGTCTACAAAACATTGTCAATTTTACTAATTTCACCCTTTATTCTCATGAACAGTGAACTACTTGAAAGTGCTTGAGTTTTGGTTCTCGTTTGAAAATCATTACATTTGTAAGTGATTCTGTGTGCTAACTTCTTAATCAGAATTACTAATTTCAAAATAGAGTTAAAATAAAATATACTTAATTTCAGTAGTTTAAATTTTAATATCATTCATCTTCTAATTTTTCTCTTTCAAGTTGTTGCAATACATGTGATGATATTCGAGAAGCATATCGGAGAAAAGGCTGGGCTCTTCCTGATCTTGATACCTTTGAACAATGTAAGAGGGAAAATTACAATGAGAAGTTAAAGGTTCATGATAAAGAAGGTTGCCAGATATTTGGCTATCTAGAAGTTAACAGGGTATGTTTAACTTTTCCCATAATGCTTTAGTCCCATTTTTATTACTAAAACATAAAGAAAAACAAGAACAGAAAACTTACAAATTGGATGATGTTAGAGTAACTTTAGGCCTAAAAAGTACTTTCTAATTGAAGACTTGGTAACTATTATGTATAACATCTTCATACTTATACCTTTTAGAAAGATCTTTTTAATGATATATTTTAAAATATAAATCATACTTACTATATCTGCTCATGGTTTAATCTTTGAGAAAAAGATGAACCATGGCTAGGTAATCAACCAAATTTTGATGGTAAATTGTTTAAAACATTTTTGAGCAATACAGACTATTTCTGTGTAGTACACAAGGCAGTATTAGCACTTAATGTTGATAAATTAGTTAAAATACAACTGTAAGGACTGTTAGCAGGATCTCTTTTAAAGAAATGTGTGATGTAAAATGTTCTAAAGAAAACATTACATAGAATATTATAGAATACATATTCAGTAGAAGATAATTCAATTAAAAACTGAATTCAAAGTTTTATGATATTCTTTTTTCACATTTTGATACTTCATGACTATTGTGTACTAGAGTTTTAATATATGTATAAATATTGTTTATCGTTAACCTGAAGTAGTTTACAAGTTATATCCAGATTTATTTGATGTTCTTTTATTGTAAATAATAAGAACAATTATCCGAATTGAAGACAGTGACAATAATAGCAAGGATGATTGATAAAGAAGTTTGTATTTACATTTGTGTAGAATCTATTACATGTCGTTTTCTGGCTTAATGTTTTGCACGTCATGCTGCGACTCCTTAAAAATCAGCTTGACCTCACTAAAGAAACTAAACACAAAATGTGTTATCACTCAAAATTTATTATTGAATGGGAAAAACAATTAATTTGCGAAAATTTTGAAATAAGCTGTTCAAAAATTGAAGTAATACTCTCTAAAACTTATTTTGCATCATAAGAAAATAAACTTCTGCTCAGAAATAATGCCCTCTATTATTTAATAGTAAGCAAGAGTTGAATTGAATTTAAAATTTTTGTAAAAATTAGTATAAAATTAATATCTTATACTTTTGATTTTTATAGAATTTTATTTTAGAATTCTTGCATGTTATTCAATAATATTTTTTTATTTTTCATCAGGTTGCTGGTAACTTCCATATAGCTCCTGGAAAAAGCTTTTCACAGCATCACGTGCATAGTAAGTTTTAACTTTACCAAATCTCAACATAGATACGAAAATATGAATTGACCAAATAATGTTAACCTTTATAATTTTGGTGTGTATTTTTAAAAAAATATTAAACGTGCTGCAATATATGTAGAATAAAGATGTGCTTCTAATCTATTAATTTTGTAAGTATTTTGTTACACTGACTTCTTAAATTTATATGTAATTTGGATACAAAACTTCAAACCTTTCTTTATAACAAATTTGTATTTTTAAGAGAAGCATTTAAAAACTGAGTTGCTTTATCTGGATTAAAGATGAAACACTTTTAACTCGAATAGAATAAAGTAAAACCTTTCCTTTTAAACAAATATGTTTGTTAATACAACAGATTATTACACTATATGGTAAACAAAACAATTCAAAGTTTTATGTTTGTATTAGTTAATATAACAAATTATGCTACTATATAGTAAAAACAAAATACTCAAAGCCTTATTTATATGCAGATATTTTAATGTAACAAATTATGACACTATTTATGTACATCTGAAGAAAAAAAAAAATCTGTGTATGTGTCTCTTTGTCCTAGGTCGTTGGGCCAATCTGAACTAAATTTTGTGGGATGATAGTTTGTAACAATGGACATGTTATTGGCAGGTTCACAACCTCCTCCACCCTCCAATATTGATGTTATTTAGCATTTATTATCTTTGACGTAAATTAACGATGACTACATTCATAGATGGCGCCACCTTGCACCAAAACAAAACCAAAAAAAATATTAAATTTTCTATAACATATAACACAACATAGTACAATGTGGGAGAGAGAACACAAACATATATCTCAGAGATTTAGCTAAATCTTTCTATAGAGGAATGCAATTAGAAAAATGGATGCCACTATTGCATCAATTCAGCTGAAGTTTCTACTCCAACAGCCACCATAATGCTCATATGAAGAGCCATTTCTTGATTTTTACCTATTTCCTACATCAACCTGTGACAACTTAATCCCGTAAAATGACCGTCAATTAATAAATTAATTAAGAGCTGAGAGTTGAAAGTGAGTAGTAGAAAGCACCCCTACCTTTTCCTACAAAGTCACCCTGACCATCGCACAGTGTATACCAGGTTTTAAGTGAGTTCTTAAAGCTTATATGAAACTTTGGGTGAGGTAATAATAAATATTGTAATAATATATCATAAATAAATTGTGTGAAAGTTATGATTTTTTATGTTACTTATCGTAGCATTCACCTCCATAATTTTTTAAGCTCATACCCCGGACAAAAGACTGGTACCTCAGCTTGTGTGTTATAAAGGAAAGTTCAAAGTTTTGTATCCATATTTGTTAGGGCACTCGACTCGCAATCTGAGGGTTGCGGGTTCGAATCTCCATCCCACCAAAAATGCTCGCCCTTTTGGCTGTGGGGGCATTATAATGTGACGGTCAATCCCACTATTCGTTGGTAAAAGAGTAGCACAACAGTTGGCGGTGGGTGTGGATGACTAGCTGCCTTCCCTCTAGTCTTACACTGCTAAATTAGGGACGGCTAGCGCAGATAGCCCTCATGTAGCGTTGCGCAAAATTCAAAAAACAAACAAACAGAAACCAAATTTGTTAACACAACAAATTATGACACTATATGGTAAAAAGTTCAAAGTATCTACATTTTACAGCACATTTGGTAGATGTGAGTAATGTACAAGACTGTGATTTCCAAAATGGAACATTTTACTATTCTCAGTGAGGCAGAAAATTTGAAAAAAATGTTTCAACATTGTGTCTTATAACAAAGCAAGCTTTGAAATAAAGATTCTTTATGATTATTTGTATTCATTTATCCCAGTAAGGAGGTCTATATTACCATATGTGTATTCATTTATCCCAATAAAGAGGTCTATATTACCATATGTATATTCATTTATCCCAATAAAGAGGTCTATATTAACATATGTGTATTCATTTATCCCAATAAAGAGGTCTATATTAACATATGTGTATTCATTTATCCCAGTAAGGAGGTCTATATTACCATATGTGTATTCATTTATCCCAGTAAGGAGGTCTATATTACCATATGTGTATTCATTTATCCCAATAAAGAGGTCTATATTACCATATGTGTATTCATTTATCCCAGTAAGGAGGTCTATATTACCATATGTGTATTCATTTATCCCAATAAAGAGGTCTATATTACCATATGTGTAAGAGTTTATCCCAGTAAGAAGGTCTATATTACCATATGTGTATTCATTTATCCCTATAAAGAGGTCTATATTACCATATGTGTATTCATTTATCCCAGTAAGGCGGTCTATATTACCATATGTGTATTCATGTATCCCAGTAAGGAGGTCTATATTACCACATGTGTAAGAGTTTAGACTGGTAACAAGTATGTACAGTACATTTAACAGTACCTGTTCTCAAACTGCATGTAATAATGGCCCACCAACACACTGTACATTCTCGTGTATAAGTGTTTACATCACATTTTTGTTTTATTTTGCTAAATGTGTCATAAGTTTGGGGTATATTTTGGGCTCAAGTTGTTTTTTTTTCTAATTCTTTTAGCACATCTTTTTTTTAAACTCCTTTCAAAATGTCATTGTTGAAAGGCCTTCAAAAACACTTTCAGTTGCTAAGCCTTCTTGGGCAATAATTGTTTGGAAGTTCTGATCTTAATCCTGACATAAAATGTTATGTAACAGGTTTTTTTTAGTTTAGAATTGATACGTGACTCATAGACTTATTAAGAAAATTAATTTGGTAATTTGAGAAGGAGAAGGGATTTCATTTTAGCATCCTGTATTTATAATTTTCTCAAACCTAACGGAACAGCATTCTCATCTTTCGCTTCTTCTTGGTAACAGAAACAATTAAATGGTTACAATTCATGAATTTTGTACTAACATTAAGCCTACATATGCAGACAATAGGGGTTGGATAGCATGTGGCCACACTCTCAGTGATTGTTGACATAATATATATATTACAGGTTTTATGACAATCAGTAACATTAGTGTTAAATTTGTTCCTTTGTTGATACTTGCTCAGTGAAACTGCTGAATTACAATACAGTATCTGAATGACAAAACAGTCTCACATATTACTCATTATTAAACTCGTGGGGGGAAAAACATATTTAATATCTACTACTGATCACTCCATACATTCAGTTCTAACTGAAGTCTAACATTTACCTTTGTATTTTAATATCTACACATAAACCTTTGACAGTGATCTTGATAAGGTTAATAGTATCATTGTTTATGTTATTCATCGAGTAGACTGCCATGGTTTGTTGGTTATGGTGCTCGACTTGCAATCTGTGGTTTTCAGAACTGAATCCAGTCACCGAACATGCTTGCCCCCTTTCAGCCATGGGAACGTTATAATGTGCTGGTCAATCCCACTATTCATTGGTAAAGAGTTGTCCAAGAGCTGGCAGTGGGTGATGTTTACTAGCTGCCTTCCATCTAGTCTGTCACTTCTAAATTAGAGGTGGCTAGTGCAGGTAGCCTTCGAGTAGCTTTGCGTGAAATTCAACAAAAGCATTCATTCATCTGCTATATCAGACAGTGACATCACATAATTACGATACAAAATTATAAAAAGTAATCAAATATTATTTGCACCACAACAACATATGATGCTAGTGTTCAATATTTTCTTTTTATTAGGGGAGTGCTCTAATAATCCAGTCATCTAGCTCTCGCATATTTTATGAGCATTTACATAATTTTTTTCTTAAATTATTGTGTAGATTTTAAACTTATGACAGAAGAGCATTATTTTAAAGTGTAATCATATTAAACAGATTGATTTTTTTTTATTTGGAAAATAAGATATGATTTGTAACTTATTTTTGTGATATTGTCTATTACAGTCCACGACTTACAACCATTTTCATCATCTCAGGTATGTTTGGTGTTTTTTATCATATTTCTGATAATGTTGTTCACGTTAGTCTCAAGTACTTGATGAAAAGTATCTTCTCTGGAATTTTTATTTTTAAATGGCTGTTTCAGTGATCTTGAAATGTTGCTTTGCTGACATTTGATTCAATGGTTAAAAAAGGTAGTAACATTGGTATTATTTTCTTGACATTTATATATTTATTTTTTATTTTA